TCGCAATCTGTGACGAAGCAGGCGAGAGCCAATGAGTGTTCGATTTTCCTGCCGTAAAACCTGTCGTAAAGTTTCTTGAAGCAGCAATTTTTGAATTTGTTATGAGCGCATCAGCGTGGGTTTTGATGCTAACTGTCGCTGCTCAGGATTGAGATGAAGATCACTGAATAAAGGCTTGAGTTTGGGATTGTTCCTCGCAGTCGTATGGATTCTGAAGATTTGGATTACGCACGAATAAAATTGATTTATTTTGTAATTATGTTGCGTTTTTTTGGTGTATTCTATTTTATGGTTCTACTGTCAGTCACAGCATGTCGGAGAAAAAACTCCTTTTGTGTCCCACGGCAAACAAAGTAAATATTACATGATAAGTAATGGTTAAACGATTGCAGAAATGTTACTCATTTTAAAGGTTTAAAGTGTAGTCTTGTTTAACATTGTGTATTTTTCTAAACGAGTTGGCAGCAGAAATCACACACACATTTCATATTAAGTAAAGGAGTAACTTAATTTAATAATGCAATTGAAAACATAATGCCATTGATATGACAACTAAAAAACTATAATAAAATTTGATTTCAGTATTAAGTTGTAAGTCTGTAAAGTTGTTCATACGTAAATAATAGTGCTGTCAAACGATTAATCGCGATTAATCGCAACCAAAATAAATGCATATATATATATATTTAAGAAAAATATATTATGTTTATATATTAAATATATTTATATATAATATAAATTATATGAATGTAAATATATACATGTAAATACGTGTAAATATTTTCAAAATATACACTGTATGTGTGTGTCTTTATATATACATAATAAATATGCACAGTACACACATATATTATGTAAACAAAAACTTTTATTTTGGATGCGATTACTTGTGATTAATCGTTTGACAGCACTAGAATCATTTAAGTTTTAGGTACCATCAATACATCAGTATTGTACAGTATTGTTTAGATGCTATAAAAATGTCAATATTGTACGTTTTAGTGTCTGTGTAAACATAAGTAAATGTATGTTTTATTGAACGTCATTTTACGAAAAATACCTACAAATTCTCATGAGATCACGTTGCTCAGCCAGAGTCAAAGGAAGCAAATTAGCATAGTGTAACACTTCTCAACATGCAAGTAAAGCAATACAACTTAGTCTCTGTAGTTGCGATGAATGTTATCAATGTCAGAATCTGAACTATTAATTTACATTCACTTAATTTAACTTTTAAATGAAAAAGTACTCCTGTAAGTCAATTTATGGGGCACATTTATCTTTAAGGGGGCCTATTTACAAAAATATTAACATCACATAATACACTTATCTGATTTACTTGAAATGATCACTACAGTACAGTGTTTAAAACAGAGATGCCCACACCAGGGTCTACAAGCTGAAGTTGGCCATGATGACTTTGGCCTGAAAAAAAAAAAAAATAATAATAACACTAACAATTTAAAAAAGCCATTGAAGCACATCTTCTAATTTTTCATTTTAACATTGTGTGTTATATTTTTATTTAAAAAACAGCAAAAATATAAATAAAAAATAAAAATGTAAATTTGATTTAAAATTGTTAAATTTTTTTTGTTTAATTATTTAATTATTTAATTCAATCAAGGTTGATTTTTGGTCCTTCGTATCAAAACAATGGGCACTGCTGGTTAAAACAGGTTACGAATAGAATATTATAAGATCAAATATTACCAAAAAAAATAAAATAAATAATAATAAAATCATACAAACCCCCTACAGTCGCATTTTAGACCAAACCTTTAAAATATTTTGGGGGCATTTTTAATAGATTTTACAGAATTTTAAGGTGCCAGTGAGGGAAAAGAGCTGTATGTGCCTCAGTTCACTAAAAATTAAAGTTTTAGCATTGATAATTTGGTTAAAGATGCACTGTGGATGATTTTTTTAAAGGCAAAATTATTGAGCAAGTACATTAAAGAACAATATTCAAAACTGTGTTTTCATCTTACTCTGATTCAACACAATAGGCCCACAACTTAAGAAGAAGAAGAAGAAGAAGAAGAAGAAGAAGAAGAAGAAGAAGAAGAAAGCAAAACACATATCCGTAAGTAGCTTGCAGGTTTATGTGTTTTTTATGTGTTTTATGTTGTTGTTTTTTTGTGTGCTGACAACACCAGGGCCGTTTTAACCATTGGGCTAGGCGGGGCTGAAGCCCCGGGGCCCGAGCAAGAAGGGGGCCCGTGATTGGCTGTGGAGTAAATTGACTGGAGCGCCGATCCCCAAAGCCACCACGCCCCCCACTTATTAGCACTGTTATTTAGTTGAGCTTTTCCGTAAATTCCATGCATTACCATTTGAGATTGAAACGTAAAGTCTGAATTTGTATTTGTATAAATACCGTGTGCCTTTTAGCCCATTCTGGTGATCCTTTTACTCCGTGTGTGGGGTAAAAGGCCCCTCTTGCCACCTCATACATTTATACGATTTTGAAACAAAATAAACAACTTGAATGATTTATTTTCACACAAAATCTGTTGCTCCATTAATGTTCAATACAACGTATATAAAAGGCCCCTCTTGCCACCTCATACATTTATACGATTTTGAAACAAAATAAACAACTTGAATGATTTATTTTCACACAAAATCTGTTGCTCCATTAATGTTCAATACTACGTATATATTTTTTCTACAATTTATACATTTTAGGCACAGTGAATGGCACATTTTTTCTTAAGGTGGGCCTTTAGCCCCGTTGTACCCTATATATATATAATTATTGTGATGGGGGGCCCTGCAGTAAGTCATAGCCCCAGGGCCCAGTGCAGTCTTAATGTGGCCCTGGACAACACAGTACAAAAGTTCTGCAAATGCAATTCAAATGCAATGTTATCTAAACCTCCTTGCACTTTTGCCTTGTTAGGCTGTGTTGTAAAACTCTGAAGCCCTCATCACAATGGAAGAAACCAGCAGCAGTGGCATATCAGGTCACTGCTCTCAGAACATCTCAGACAGCCACTGAGTACTAATTAGATTTCTGTGATGAGAAATAAATAAACATGATGAAGGGTACATTAAATGTCTATTATAAGCAAATTAAGAAGTGCAAACTGGCATAGATGCAGGCTCGAGTCGAGGACAGAATGCCAGTGTTGGGCAGGCCGTCGTGTAATTTGTACCTTCAGTAATGACTTGGAAACCTACATGATAAAAAGTGTTGCAGAGAATTTGATGAGCAAAGCTGTACAGCTCTCATTGTTTTTTTTTCCTGTCAAAATGTCTCCTGAATATAGTGGCAGGTGACACAGGTTATGAGCTATGATTACCGGCATGTTGTCTGGAACTGGAGCCAACTGGCTGAAAACATTTTTGCTGGTTTTCCCATAGACAGCCAGGATTTTTGTCATTAGCTACATATCCTTCCACAAACGTTATGCTATATTGTAAGATGCTGCATAAAAATTGCTGAATGAAACCACCAAGCTACAATAAAAATGTATATGCTTACACTTAACCTATGTAAGGACATTTTCAGAATAAATTTGAAAATGTGCATTACAAATGTAATGTGAGTGAACAATTTACTGAATAAACTGCATCTAAATAATTAATAAGTACTATTAAATTATGTCAAAAAATACTTAAAATATTGGCTATATACAGTATAGCATATACAATTTCAGAACATTATATTACTTATATTCTAGCAAATAAATATGCAATTATTTACTATATAAAGGATTCACGTAGATTTCTTACATTTTAGATGATGTCAATATGCACATACTGTACATTGTATATCTAAAGTACAAAAATGTCATGTGACTGAATAATATGAATATAATAATATGAATCTGAATAATTAATAGCTGTTAGATATTTAAAAAAAAAACTTAAAAATCTCTGCTATATATAATGTATATAATGGCAGAATATATATATATATATATATATATATATAACACATTTATGTTTTAGCTGTCAATAAGATTATTGGAGTATGTTTCACAAAATTCAAATTACATTTTTTCTTGAATTATTTGTGAATTTTACTAGCAGTTGATTTAAAGCATTTTTTTGAAATATATATATCTAAAGTTACAAATTTGTTTGCGTATACATGTACAAATACCTACAAATGAGATTAGGTTAATTAACCATGTCCTTGATTATAGAGTGCTGATTTTGCATTAATGTGGATATTGCTTCATTATGCATAGACATGATCTGAATAAAAGGTCTAGTTTGATATATAGGAGTCAAGATCACTGCCAATTTGAAATACAGACCTAAAAAGAGACAAAACAGATGCATTAAACTCAACAGCCCACAACTTGAGATGTCACTACACATAGCAGTCAGCAACAATGTCAGCGTTTTAAACAGAAATGTCAGTTATTTCACATTTCTTATTCCATTAAACAGATTTGTGCTGCTCTTTCCAGTACAGAAAAGAGAATACCGTAAATGCAAGCATGTTAAAAGAGCAAATGCTGAGATGCCATTAAATATTTATCAAGGAAAGCCAGAGAGAGAGAGCGACTGTTTAAAACAAAAATTATAATAAAAAGAGCAGTAAACTGTACTGAATTAATAATTTTAATAATTTAATAATAATTTATGCATTTAGCAGACACTTTTATCCAAAGCTACCAGTATGTTTGTTCCCTGGGAATTAAACCCACAACCTTTTGCCCTGCTAACGCAATGCTCTACCACTGAGCCACATGAACACCCAAAATTTCCATTGTTCTTGTGGATTTTTGTTTGGATGTTAGAAAAGCGCCGCACAACATTCTAGGCGTTATAAAAAATCTTTCTATTTAACATTTTCCTTTATTCCCAGAGAAGAGACCATTAGAACAGAAGACATTCTGGGTACTTTTATTTTTATTTTATATGATGTGCCGCTTTTCATCTGTGGCTCTATCTATCACTGTGTTAAGAAGGAAGAGGAGGTTTCTTTGCATCGATTTGAATAAGCAGGATCAAAATAGACTGCTTAAGAGGATACTTCAGAGTTCAGACTCTGTCTGAATGTAATTTACAGAAACATGAAAGACGAGTTACTACAGTACCTACAGTCACAACAATTGCTTGTTACGTCTTTCCACCCAAACATCTTGCCCTGAACCGAATCTAGCACTCCACCAATGTACACAACTCTTAGTTTGGACAATTCTGTATCTGTGATATAGTAGTGGTCGTAGCAGATGGCACTGGGTGTCATTCCTTTCATGATACGTTAACATATATCTCTTCTAAAAGTACAAGATCCATGCCACTGTCACACTTTTAACATTTTAACACCACTTTGCCATACTCTACAGATGTAGCATCATCCTCACATGCATTCACACATATTCTCATTTGTGTAGTAAGTGACAAGACACGCTCAAAGCACTTCTCTTTCTTTGCATTTAATCACCAAACAAGAACTATATTAGCCGTCCCTGGGTTGGTTACCCTCTCAGTAAGACATTCTGCCCACAGAACCCTGTAAATATCTCCGAGCTGCCTTACTAAGCAGGTGTTCCACCTCTCGCTCGCTCTCTCTGTTTGTCTTCCTTTTTAATGGGCTCCATTACTCCCCTGAGGCTCAATTTCACCCTTTGAGACTTCATTGGGTTCTTTGATTAGAGGAGGGATGGTAAGACTTTCACTGAGACCAGTAAATCTGGCACAATTTGGATCCTTCTCGAGTCTGAGTGAATCTGGGTGCGATGGGCGTTCTCAGGGCACCACGTGAATTTGCAACGTGTTACACAGTCTAAGTCAGAGTAACAGATGTTTTAAAGCTTAATGTTAATGGCATGATAATGCTGTATTGTGCCGTGAGGGAGCACTGTAGGCTGTTGTGCACACCTGCATACTGAATTAATGTGGGCACAGTGTGAAGTACTGTTTCTCCGGTACAGATGTTCTTTATCCATAGTCACCATAGCAACATGACGGATGCCCCCCCAATCCTTCCACTCGGTGTCTCACCTTAGCCATTCACTCAGAACAATGCCTTCACAATACAGGGAAGCACACACACACACACACACACCATCCAGAAACTGTCACCTACTCAAGCAAGCAGTGACCGAGTGAGCCAAGTGACTGACAGTAAGCTCTGTATCTCTCCAAGAATCAGAATAGTGGAAGTAATGACAGCACATGTTTTCTATTGACTATTAACATCTTGTGAACTGAAATTCTGTGTGTTTGTAAGAAACCATTTTTTTTAAATCATTGCTTCTGACCAAAATATGAGCCCATAATCCATAATAATGCTTCCGATAGTGAAAAAGTTAATCCCATTTTGTCCTCTCACATCAAAGTCCACTGAAAATATTTGTTTAGAACTGTTTTGGCTTGTAAATGGTGCTTGATCTGTGCATATTTCTCTCCCGATTCAGACAAGACAACTTTTTTTTTTTTTTTACTGGAGAAACAATATAATGGATAGAGCAACCGTATTTTCAGCAATTTTTCATTTGTGGATGAACTATTCCATTAAAAGAAAACCAGAGAGCCAAGAGTGTGGACAACACAATGCTGAGCATTATGGCAGTTTAAGAAATTATTTTCTTCAGTAGACAGACACTAAAAATAACACTGAAAATAACCTGGAATATTACTTTAATATTTTATGCAGCAAGTATAGCCCTGAAAATAGAGAAAAGGGGCAAATATTATCGTAAAGCAAGATTACATTCTTGCTATTAAGAATTTTCAGACATTATTCTCTCTCTGTGTGCCACAGTATAGCATGGAAAAACTTGTTCATATTGTATAATCTCAATGTTTTGATATTCATAAGAATGTTAATTTATTCCCAGCAACATCTGACTGTAATCTGAGCCTCATTCATAACCAAATTCATAAGCAGCTAGCGAGCAAGCGTGATAAAATAGCAGGGGTCACTAATTCAGAAATTCAGAAATCCAGCAAACCTCAAAACAACTGCTCAGCTCCATCTCCTCAGCAGCATATATTAATGAAGATGATCTCCACTGCTCTACACCTCTGCAGTGATATACGGCCAAGAGTGGAATTCATGTCCCGCCTTCTCAACATATTCAGCATCATAAATACAACTGAATAGCTCCCTTAGGTTTCAATTACGAGAGTCAAATCTCTGGAAGCCTGGCCAAGAGTAACATTACTCTGTCATCAGGGGAAGAATAACTAGAATCACTATATTTAGGAAGGGATTTCGATAATAAATTCAGATAACGCCACCCTTGAATTTGTCCATCTTTGATGTGTAATAAATAAATCGAAAAAAAAAAATGAATGAATGATTTAATGATGTATTGCAGATGAGCAAACACTATATTAATATGACTTTTTTTCCAGATGAAAATATCAAATAGACATTGCAGCAATGTGTGTACAAAAACATAAGAAAAGCCTCAGTAAAATGCTTTAATGTGTCTAGAGTGAATGTAGGGAACTCTGTGTTCTCTGTCAACATGACTCCATTTAGGTAGTTTCTATCAAAGAGTGCAGAATGCTTTTCCTGTTTCCACATATATAAACCTGTCTCTCTGCTCTCTGGAGTTTGTGAGCACACAAAGCATTTTACTTTAGCTTTATTTCAGAGTACTTGTTCATCACTGTAATTTATCTCCTTCCTAAAAGTAACACTGAATCTTTAAAGATACATGTGTGCCTATTTTGGACCAGCCTAGCTTTCCCTTTTCAGGTTTCCCCAGAAAAATTAGCTAGTGAACAATGTCTGACCCAATTAATGTCTGACTAAATTAAAATAATGATTTTGGCCTGTTCCTTGTCAGAGGTGCTGGCCTTTTTATACTAATTCTATCCATCCATTCTCCATACCGCTTGTCCTATAAAGGGTCAAGGTGATGCTCCAAAAATATAATATTTATGATTTCCCAAAACATAACCGTAAAAAAAAAAAAATCCATAAAATGTGATATGCCTGATTTTCAAGAAGTAACTCCATTAAATTATAATTAACAATATCGCTATAATTCATGAGTTTTAATTATATATCAATTATATATGTACATTTTCAGCTACTTTGTTCACATCAAGCTAGTCCTTACTAAGCGACCTCTTAGTTTAGGTCTTGCTTTAGGTTATAAATTAATACTTTTATACTTTTATTTAAGGATGCATTAAATTGATCAAATGTGTCAATAAAAACATTTTGTAACATTACAAAATATTTGTATTTCAAATAAATTATGGTTTCCGCAAAAAAATAAAATAAATATTTAGCACCACAGCTGTTTTTATCATTGATGTTTCTTGAGCACCAAATCAACATACTGAAATTAAGTTTTATATTATACTAAAAAACTGGAGTAACGGCTACTGACAATTCAGCTTTGCCAACACGGAAATTAATAACATTTTAAAATATATACAGAATAAAGTTTTGTATTTATTGTATTTAATTTTTTTTTTTTTTTAACTGTATTTTTGATGAAATAAAATTGTGAGTATAAGAAACTTATTTCAAAAACATAAAAAACTGATCCCAAACGTTTGAACATACATGTAATTTGGTGTAATGTCCTCCCCCTCCCACCCTAGAAATTACACAAATCAGGGTTTTATCAGGTTGTATGACAAAAAATGCATACTGTATAGAAAATAAAACAGGTCATATAATATTTAGTGTGACCATTTTAGCACCTCCTAGTAACATTCTGTGCTTCTCCACTCTCGAGCATCAGTCCACTCTCATTCATACATTCAAGACTTCTTGACCAGGGATCAAAAGTGAATTCGTGGGTGACCATATAAGTGGCTCAGAGAATATGTTTTTGACTGGCTGAAGAGTACAATTTAACATCTTTGGAGGTAAATTCAAAACCATAAGATGAAAGATTGAGGTTATTTTTCTTGTCACATCTCAGATTTATTGCCTACAGGTCAGTGACCAAACTTTTTTTTTTAGCTCTTACACTGTTTGCAAAGTAACACTGACCTGAAATATAATGACTTTGACTGCTGGGCACCTGAAGAATTTTCACCTCTGTGCCATGGCTCTAACAACCTATACAGATACAATTTCATTCCTCTCTGAAAGACTTTGATTCATTTTATGCTTCAGACACAAATGGATGGATAACTGTTTAACTTCACTCAAGACTGATGAATTGAGCGCCCCATCAGATGCTTTATGCTGGACCTCTAATGTGACCAGCCTGACGAAATGTTAAAATGGCTTTGGAATCGATGTCTGCCTGTAGAACATTAGGTCGAATGGCTATTGCTAATGTTTCAGGAGGGCGAAATTGAGACTAAAATGATGCAATTTGACTGCTGAACCTATGATTTGCCAAAAAGTGCTTCTGAAAATTCCTATCAAATATGACATTTCTAAGACCCTCAACTTTTCTAAGTGGCAACACAAAGCCCTCAATTAACATTACTGGATGACCATGTTCACTTGATTACCTGTCTTCATAACAACGCTATGTGTTATAATGGATAACTAATTTGCATAATTATGTTTCATCCCCTCTACCTCTCTAAATGAGCCCAGCACAGATGCCGCACAATAGCCCACCGCAATTATATTCCTTAAGGAGACGCAGGCATTGTGCAGAGTTTCTCTCATTTTTGGGCCATTAAATCAGATATGGTTTATTAGACAGTCCTGTTGAACCATGGGTAATGGGCCTCAGAAACAAATGCCCACTGCTATGGTCCTCTCCACAGTGTACAGTATAATCTCTCCTGTGGGCACAACAAACACTATCTAGTTTCACATTCACTGCTTTGACCTGAAGCTATTAAAATAAATAAATAAAATTCTATCACTATTACAAGTCCTATCACTTCAATTTCAGGTCATGAAATTTCAGGTTTTTCCTGTTCTTAGTTAATATCAAAATCTCTAACATTTTACTGCATACTGCATACTGCATACTTTACTATGGAGCACTAAGGGAACATGGTGATGGGGGGAAAATATGAGAAAGGAGGAAGATTTTTTTTTTTCTTAACGCGTAATGGTTTTTCAACTGTACAAACCCTATATTCTGTTGCCCTACACCA